ATCCGCCCCTGGCAAAAAAATACATGAACGAGATCCTTTAAAGCCATTGCCGTAATACAGTGAGCCAGGAAAATCTCTCCGCAAATTCATACTGTGGCTATTAGTCCTGTAAGTGCAGTGCTCTCTTTTCTCCAACCAGGTATCTCCCACAGGCGTGACACCTAGGCTCCCTAGTAGGGACAAGCTGTCTGTCCCCGACAGGTCTCCCTTCATGTGTGGTAGTGTAGTACATGTTAGTTTAAGTGTGGGCAAGGGGTGAGGATATGACAAGAAAGAGGTAGGAAAGATCACGCGCGGTCCGTGTGTGCCGTTTCCTGCGGCTTCTTCGTATTGGCCGCGCCGCTGACGCCTGGGAACGCATGTTTCCGAATGCGCTGCCTCCCACTCGGCGCCTCGCACCGCCAGCGCCTCTTGGCGTCAGCCCATGGCGAGAGCGTGGCCCTAGCGCCCTTTGCCGCGCCTGCCCGGGCGATTTGAAGCCGCTGGACGTATATGAATACAAATAAGCGGATCGTCTCTCTCGATCAAAAAATATTTTAGACTAAACTTATGTATTTTTAGTGTAGAATCAGAATCTGCAATAAAAAGTGGGGGTTTCCATTTAAGATTTCAATGTTGGCTCTCGCCTAACCTTCGAGGAGCGAGCGGGGTAGTTTGACTTTAGGTCTGACAGATGTCTGCCTTGGAGATATTATTTTTTTGCATTGACATTTTTTGTACGTTGCATATTTTACGAGATATTTTGATTTGTCAAGTTAAATGGGCCACCTGTATATATATCCACTTTTTGTGGATCATTGATGCCAAAATTTGGTTTACGGCAAAACGTCTCTCTCTATCTCTGTCACTCCATCTGTTGTCAACGCCAGCGACTAAATTAAATAAATTACATACTCCATTAAAATGACTGATGTGCAAATGACAATAAGGTAACAAAATTCTCAGGTCCCTCAATTCAGTCAAATCTCAAATGTAACAACCAGTTCAATGAGTTCATTTCATGCATGCATTCTTTCTAATTCAGTCTTTTTTGTTCTTTAAGGTCGCATCAACATCTAGGTGACTATCGACCATTATTGCATTTAACGGTATGGTAACTGTGAAGATGACATGATATGATGATAGGGGTGAAAAGACCAGAAGGGGAACTCGAACCCGCGATCCTTGGGTCCAAGATCGCTACGGCACTACTGCCTTGACGATCTCGGCCATCCGGTAATTTAGTCTTTATATTGCTCGTTGCTTATATTTCACAAAAGTTCACTCCCGCCTGAGATATGGCACAATATTCAGGGGAAACTCTGTCTATTACTTCCGGACATTTGTATTACAGAAAATAATTGTACCAATAATAATAAGCAAATTCCAACCAAGGGCTTCTTGTAAGCTTCTCTTTATTAATATAGGAATTTTATGATTACTTGCCTCTTTTTTATTATTATGTTCAATTTGTTGCGTCTTCAGCGCAACGTGTCTCTGAATTCTTCTCGGGGACTGAACGGCTGGCGTGGAGTAATCCTCCGTCGTTTTCTTCTATCTTTTTTTTGCCAAGTATCGTCATGTTCCAATCCGGCAGTGCTTTTTATGCATTCGGTCAGGGGCTCTACATCTTTAGTAAATGGAGTTACCAGACGGTCACCCGCCTAGGAATCCATGGGGTCTCGAATTTTTTTAATTTCCTCGTAGTTAAGAAATTCGGCTAACGGTCATCTCTTGATTTACGAATCAGTGTGTTTTGTCAAAAATGACTTACACAACATTTGTGGGAACATTTTTCAGTCAATACACATGTCTGTAACTATAACACTCGACAATCATATTAATCAGGTGTCATATCAACAAGTCACTACAAAAATTCACATAAAATATATATACACTGCCTGAAAAAAAGTGAAGCATCCAGGAGTGGTTGGAAGTGAATGAACTTACATATGCTCTAAGACCATTCAACTCCGTTGAAGTGATTACATCATGGGATGAAAGAGACAGGTTCGATGGCAGTTACAGGTGGAAAGTTGGCGCCAGGTCAGTAGGGCGACGCACCTCTTCTGGTTGCAATGCATGACCTTAAGCGGTTCGGAAGGGTTTCAAACAGACTTTGGATCCTCTCGAATCAGTTCGTCCACAATTGTTGCATGCGTTCCTCCAGATCTTACATGGTTCCTGCAAGCATCCACATGGTTCTGCGACGAAGTCCCCTTTCAATGTCATCCCACACGAGTTCAATGATGGAAAGGTCCGGGGATCTTGCTGGCCACGGGAGGATCGCAAAATGCTCTAAGTAGTCCACACGTGGTGTGCGTGGGCGTGCATGATCTAGTTGGAACACTGTCCCAGGGTGCTGTTCCATAAGGGTTGGGATGTGCGGACGCAGAATATCTCTGACCTATCGCTGTGCCATCCAAGTCTGCCGAAGCACTATTAGAGGTGATTCGAACGAATATCCGATGGCTCCCCAAACTATGATGTCCGGAGTTACATCTGTGTGTCTCTCCACAATATGAGGATGTATCCTCTGCCATTCCCGTCACCACACTCGAACAAGATGGTCAGCGGAGGTTATGGCGAAGCAGGTCTCATCACTGAACACGATGCGATGCCATTCGTCCTCTGTCTATGCCTCCGAGGCACGGTACCAATCCAAACGCCGACGTCGGTGTTCCGGTGTCAATGGCAACCGACGCGGGGGACGGTGGGACGTCAATCCGGCGGATGCGAGTCGTCGAGCCACTGTGCGGGAATTCACAGACAGTTATGGAGTTGCCAGTACATGTCCGTGGATTGTGAATGCCGACGTCATGGGATTCCGCACTGCTCGGCGCACCATGCGACGGTCCTCCGTGAGGGAGGTGTTTCTTGGTTGACCCGAGCCTACACGACGTGCATGGGTGTCCTCGTGTACCTATTGATTCCAATATTCGGCCACCGTGACATCTGAATGGCCCACATGCCTGGCAATTGCACGTTAGCACCTACCAGCCTCATGAAGTCCCACAATGTGGTCTCTGTCAAACGCAGTCAATTGGTGGATGGACAGTTGAACGCATCTCAGCGACATCGCCGCTGCTTCGTACTGTACGTAAACGTCGATCTTCACTGTCTGACCCACAGCAGTTCACTGATAACTCCGCAACGATGGTGGTGACATCACGAATGCACTCTGGTGGGCGTTCTACACATTACAGATACGTGTGAGTCTAAACATTTACTCACACATCAATACTATGCTTGTATACCGAAACGGAATAAAATTGGACAAATCCGAGTGCAGCACTTTTTTGTCTGGCAGTGTACATTATTTTACAACAAAGATGCCATTAGACATTTAATATCGATACACAAGTATACGTGTGAAGTAAAATGTCTTCTACATAACTATTTTTATGCAATTAGACTATACAGAGGATCGAAAAGAAATGGAATGTTCAATTTAACAATGATAATGAATGTAGAATTGGGTCTCTACAATTCTAAAGAACATACAGCAAGAATAGATTGATTAGTGATTCCGGGCGCGTCGAATAAGTTAATTTGTCCCGATAGTGTAGTGCATGTTTTAGCGCGGGAAGTGACGGTGATTTTCCCCCGCTGGCTAGCGAGATTCGGCGCCAGTCGAAGTCGGCTTACGGCATTTTCCTCACTGGTCTATTATCATGTGTGGTAGTGTAGAATATGCGTAGGTAAATTGAAGAAAAGGAGAAGGAAGAGAAAGGAAAGATCGCGCGCGGTCTATGGCCCGTTTGTTAGGGTACTGCTCTAGTATTCGCCTAATGTTAATCCATGGAAGAATCCTGGAGAATCCATGGAAAGTTCAGTTATAACTTGAAGTCTAATTGAAAAGAGTCGTCTCTCGTGCTTATCTACATTTATTTCTATTATCAAGATGGGTAGTCATTTTTACTTTTAGAATGAAGCGAACATGAATATATTTAAATTTTACAGTACTTACATAACATAATACACAAAATCAAGAATAATTTCATACAAACCTACCTTGATTACATCTGAAGTGAGCTATCAATTTTTAATACCATAATCAGAGATTAAAACTTCTTAAAGTGTAGCCGTGTGTTTGTTAGTTGTAAGTTAAAATTTATAACCTTCCTTCAATATATTTTCTTTCATAACAATTTATATCTACATCATCACACACAACAATGGGATGAATTGCAGGAATTTTGAAACCTCTGTGTTGCTATTTTCCGAACTGGCAACGCCTGAAACGAAGCGCGCGAAATTCGAATTTACAATTCCTTTCAAATTTCAATTACTTCTTTCGAAATTTTCGAAAACGCAGAGTGCGTCCAAAATAGGACCATTACCGCTATATTTACAATTCTTTGCTACATACGAGAATAAAAATAAAAGACAATATTTGAAGCCGGTTCTGAGTAAATTGTTAGAAATGGTTTTAAATCGCCTGTGTTTCATGTAAAATAACGCAAAAAATATTCATATTTTCAAAATATTAAACGTGACTTCTTTTGAAAAACTTGATGAACACATTTCATTAAGAAAAAATATCTTCAAAATTGTAGTCATAGGAAGACGTCGGAAAAATTTCGAAATTTTATGCAATTTTCGAAAACTCTGGATTTTTAACGGACATGACACCGTCACCATTCTCTCAAACGTTCTTTGCACTATCTAACAACACAGTTTCATTAAAAAACGATGGAGCCATTTCTTTGAAATTTTCGAAAGTGTCCCAAGGGCTTCATGTAAAGTACCCCCCAAAATTAAAATATCAGTTTCAAATGCAAGGGTCATAGGGACATCAGCCAAAGCAATTGCAAAATATTAATTTTCGAGAAAATTGTCTGAATCGTTTCAGGTAGTGTTCACAGACGGACGGATTGACACAGTCGTTTTGTCATTCGTTTATTCGGTACCAAGGCCCCACAAAACATGGATTCTGGATAAACCACATGTTAGAGGATTTTTGTTCTAAATTTACCAATTGGATTTATCCACTCTTGGTTACCAGGGCCCGGTAATTAGAGTTTTTCTGCAAAATTAGCAGCATTACATAACTTTCTCTTTTTAAGAAATTCAAAACGCTTTTATAAATAGGGAGGCAACAAGGGGTGGTAAAAGAAAACACATAAATATTACTTTTTCTTGTTCCCAAACATTCCACATGCAGCTGGTTTAATTCGTTTTGGTACATTCCTTACATTCTTATTTCACAAAAAGCTTTGGTTTTACAAAAATTGATAGTAGTCGTTTTCGTCTTTTCCTTACTGGCGAACTACCAGTTTATTACATTTACAGCTTATTTGTAAGCAGTCACAGAGTCCGTATAAATCAATATGTTTTCCCGATCACTGCTATCTATACTTGGAGAACAAATACAGCATCATCCAACCAGTAGTACGCTTGGTTTAGGTCACCTTCACATAAATATGGCAAACGTGTCCAGCATAATACAATGAATCCAGCGGGTACGAACACATCTTCTATTGCACTTTGAGCTTGTTCTTCAAAAGTGCTGCCTTGAATAGGAAGTCTTTCAGAAGGCTGATGATCGACTCGACCTAGACAAAAAAAATCAGTATTACACTCCGCACACATTTATATTATTGAATTATATTTCTCGTGTCATAAATTTACTCCTTACAAAAACCACCAACACACACACTTTCCAAGACCTACACCTTGACACGTAATACGAAGCATGTTAAAATGTAATAACTAGAGAACGAATTTTTAGGTAAACACTTTTTGGAATTATGCTTTGTAGACGTACGTGACTTAGCGAAAGGTGTTTTGCGTCATCACGAACCCAATAATATGGAATTTTATTTCACCTAAAACACATTTTCACAATTTTGATATTTAATTTTTTTGCTGAAGAACTTAATATTTTCGAAGACGACTTTCATTAATTTCCCTTTTTTTCGAATTAGGGCCCCAACGATATGTATTCTCGTGATTCCCATACTAGTTAATCTGTGAACGTATATTCCAAATAATGGTTCCAAATATTTACCTTGCACACGCCCTGGAACCCAATACAGAAAGGAAACACAATATTCTACTCGCGCAGCGTATTCTAGGAACACTCCGCTGGCTGGTATCTCGCAGTGCCTGTGTGGCCCTATTTCTGGAATCAGTATTGTGGTCTGGTGGTGTCCAGACTAGTGCCTTCTATTCGAGCAAGCTTGCGGCACCAGAGTAGTTCTTTTGGCCACTGGATGTCACTAAGGTGCGACTAACACTTCCTCGGCCGTGTGTCCGTTGCTTGAATTCATTCGAGTATCTAATACTCGCCAAGTATGCTATACAGCGAAGTGCTTCTAGATGTAGTCATGAAGAGTGAAGAGAAAAGATGAATGAAAAGAGAAGTAGAAAACGAACTTCACAGCAGTGAATACAAGTTCAAGAAAATAGATGTGAGAAGTAAAGTTTGGAAACAATTTTTATTAGTTATTATATATTTATTAGTTATTATTTTAATAGGCAAGATAATATCATTGTCCCCTGAGCAAGTGTGTGATATTTTATTGATCCATAACGCCAAAAATGTATTAATCCTTAATTATCAAATATTTTAAAATGATATTAGCATGCATCTACTTCCTATTATGTTTGCTACCAACAGTCTTTGAATTTTTATACCTTTCAGTATTTTCAGTATCAGCAGGCAGTGAGCGCAACATGAAATGTGAGTCGTCATAATAGTGATAAGCGGAAAGTTTGCACATCCTTTCATAAGGTACCGGCCCATGAGTTGTGATCGACGCTCATCTTTCGATTAGTGGCCTTGTCTTCTATTAGTGAGGTTGTCTCGTTTCCGGTGCGTCTGCGATACTGCGTCCTTCGTAAGCGTGGCGCTTTGTGAGCTGAACTATTGTAATTCCCTCCTACAATTGCTTTGAAGAATGATAAAATATTTACTATGTGAATTTAACACACTTTTGTTTTGTATTATATTATTATTTTTTTATTGTCATTTTGTATAAGAGAACAGCTTTGTAATATATTATTAAGATTTTGAAATACGATTTCTAGAATAAAAAGTAATGTTACACAATATTTTATTTTCGTAGATTAAGTAGTATTAAGAAGCATTTCATTGTCATGTTTATTGATAAGTTTGGAAAGTCTTGGGAACACCATGATTAAAATATTAATAAATATTACCCAAATATAAAAATATTTCCTAATTCTTAAAATTCAATGAATCGTCTTTTAATTACCCCTATCTGAAGATAAATTTGAAGAATACCGAAATAAATAAAATGGCCATTGCATGTAATTTTCCGTTCACCATACAGGAATTGTGCTATCTGCTTCTTGGAAAATTCAAATACACGTACCACTCATATATTTCTACGAATTCATGTCCGCAGTGTTCTTTTGATACGTTCGAAGACAGGAGTTCAGTTTTTAACTTCATTTTTGGTTTCGAAAAAGTATACTATTCAAAGCACATTTGTATACTATTGTAATGTCCTCTAGGTGCTCTTTGCACCTTAACCTCCACAAAAAATTAAAGACGTGAGATGGACGTCTTATTTTCAATGTCTCAAAGCATTACGATCACGGCTTCCTGCCCCCCTCCCCGGTAATGGACCCTCGAGTATGCGATGCTCGAATCTGCTGTACTCGACGGCGGGATGCTCGAGCTAGTACGAGAGAGTAAATTGGTGATGATGCAATGCTTCTACGGCATATGGCACGTTCGAACTCCTACATATTCCCACAATTGCTTTGGCTGGACGATATCACTCGACCCTTCTGGAGTTCGGTTTCTAATTAACAGAGTAGTTGAAGTCAGACGACAGTCACTGGATGGCCTAGCCGGAGCTGGACAACCACATTCTTCTGTTTCAGAAATCACATAAAACAGAAATTGTTTCCTGATATAAAGGATGAAGTTTCAAGTGAAAACGTGCTACGTCATCACGTACTTTCTCGCATTATTTATAACGGTGATACAGGTGGCGAAAAGTTGATGTTGATAACCCAGTGAGTGTACAATAAGTGGGACGATGACGTTAAACTGTCAAGTAGTAAGTAGTAACGGGCACTGAGTTGCATTCAGTGAGATTTCGCAGTGGAGCGGTACGGAGCACGCGGCCTCCTTGAGAGCTTATTAACGACACGGTGACAGCCTCTATGAGATCCCGCCCTGTGGTCAAGTTCCTTCTCACGCAATCAAATCGTGGGTTCGTAACTTTGAGAAGACAGGTTTAGTTTTGATGAAAAAGCCGTGGTCATGTATTGTCTGCACGTACCCCCGAAAACATTGATGCTGTGCAAGCTGCAGTGAGGAGTCCTCGTTGTTCGATGCGAAAACTTGCCTCGTCATTAAGACTCAGACTTCGGAGAGTGCAAAATATAATCCACGACCTTAAATTTCATTCTTACAAGCTTCAGATTGTTCAAGAACTGAAACCTAATTATTCTGATGCGCCTACTATTTTGTGAAAACAGTTGGCTAAAATCAATAAGGAAGAACATCATAGAAAATCTTTGGATGGCTGTTACGTTATGGATCTGGGCATTACTGCGACCCACAGTGGCCCGGCAAGGGTCTCTCCTAGCGCCAATCGGCATTAGTAAACCATACGTGATTTTCACTAACTGCTTAAGGCAGCCTTCTTCAAGGGCTAATGCAGGGTTCTGGTCTCCACTCTAATCAGTGGCCTGATGTGCCAACCCAGTTGCTCTCGTATACCCTCCGTGGCCCGATAACACGACGTCCAAAGTTTCATGACCCTTCCCTCTCTACTTACATCCCGCTGTTGATTCAGTCACTCCTAACATGCAGACGCTGTTTGCAGCCCCCGCTGCGGATCAGACGCTGCGGTTGTGTTCGATGTGCCTCTGCCGCCACCTTTATCAATCTTCATCGAAGATGCCGTTGAGGCTCTCCTCTGGGTTACTTCTTTGTCTGACTCCTAATCTTCAACATGTTCTGCAAAGAGGCCCAACCAGTAGCTAGGCTACCGCCGACATAGCTCTCAGGCACCCGGGGGTACTCAAGCTCCACTACAAACTACAAGTTCGTGTACTCCCTTGGTGGAGTTATTATTATCGTTTCTATTGTTAATAATATTATTCTAATCATCATCATCAATGGACAACTTTCTCAACAAATCTAAAGCGTTTTCAGATTTTCAACATTGATTTAGAAAACCAAAATTTACGGAAATAGACAACTATTGGCCTCCGCCACATGCTACGATCGAAGTCGAGGATACCCAAATTGCCAGCCAGCTGGCTGAAGCTGACTGTAGTAACTCAGCATATCTGCGTCTCGCGAACACACGTACTGTCCGAACTCCAGAGCCTTCCTCCTACGACGTGTAAGTCAGCAATAAACCGAAAAGATCAAGACGCAAAACCTCGAAAGAAACGTGAAACGTGGTAATTGTAAATTGGGAAATTGTCAATAAGTACATTACGAAGTGATGAGAACATTTTTTTAATTAAATGTTTGGGTAGGCTCCGCCTTGTAGCCTAATAAATTGCTACGACACGTGTACACGAGGTAGGACAGAGATTCCAGAGCTCAAGAAATCGTGCACAGATTGAACTTCTTTCCACAGCTCGACACAGTTTTCAACTGTTTTGATGTCAAAAAAATTATTTATAAGGCTGAAACATCACATCGTTTTCTGACATGAATCAATGTAGTGCATTCTGAGTTATTTTGTCCATTATTATCTCCCAGAAGACAGCTCCTCGCAGTTTCAGAATACATTTCTTCCATTTTCTTCATGGGTCTAATTAGTATTAAGAAAATTATGTCTTTCAGTCAGCCTTTGAATTCTGCAATAAAATGTGAAATTATTCACTCATTATCCATATTAAATATAGGTTGCCTACAACTTAAATTTTTTTGTCTTAGTCTTTCCAACGTGAAAATCGCATTTCTAATCAAATACACACATACACAGTATTCATATTTGAAACATCACCGCACTACTAAGACGTGCAGTACTAACGAATTTCATACAGGAGGAAGAATCGTATTTCCTTGGCCTCTATTTCACCAGCACGACTCCAGCGGCGTGGCCATGCTGTATAATATTGGCGTGGCGTGAAATTTTGGCGACGTGGCCATGCTGTTATCGTGGGTGTCGTAACGGTTGTCATAGCAACTGCCGAGGCAAGTCGCACCCCGGAGGTAGAGTTGTATTGGAAGGCAGCCTACTTCACTTAAACGGCCGGCGTAGTCAGGGAATGTTCTCATCCAGCACCTTCCTGAGTTTTAAGTTCCCGGCTGAGGTTCACGGGCGTGCCACACAAAATATACATTACTATTAAAACCATCATACTTAAGTTACGAAATAAATGAAATACATTTTTAATATAATTCTTATATAAAATAGAGCATACACTTTCTCGCATTATTTGTAATATTGGAATTTTTGCTAATTAAGACCTGAGCTAAAATTGTAAAAAAAGCCTACTTTAAACGAAGCGTTTGTGGTGCACACTTGCATTTATTTCGATAGTCAGGAACAGTAGTCATTTCTTACTTTTACAAATGAAACAAACATAAATATATTTAACGGTTGCAGTATGTGCAGCACATTATACAAGAAAGTAAGAAAAAATGCACACAAGCTTGCCTAGATTACATCAAAGTGAGCTTCCAATTTGTAAGTACCATAATCAGCGATCAAAACCCCTTAAAGTACGAGTAAAAGAAGTGGTTTGTTTGTTCTACGTAAATCTATTTCCTTTCATAAGAAAGGTTTTTCGTAAGCAGAATCCTTACATCTATTTCATTTCATAAGAAAATATCCACATCGTAAAATAAACCCGACAGGAAACAAAGAAAAAATCCTAGGAATTTCCAATCTTCCAGCGTGCGAACCTACAGCGCGTCAAACGAAGCGCGGGAATTTGGAATTTACAATTTCAATATTTCCAATATTTGAAAATACAAAGAGTGCGCTGAAAATGAAACCAGCACCACGTTCCATTCTTAGCTACATACGTGTAAAAAAATAAAGAAAACATTTGGAGCCGTTTTGAGAAAATAATTGTTTAAAATTTTAAAATTGCTTGTCCAACAGAATTTAAAGAAATTTTTTTAATCATAATTGTAGTTGTAGGAACACGCTGAAAAAAATGTGTGAGCTATTGCAGTTTTCGAAAAATCAGAGATTTTAACAACAATGAGATCTCTACCAATCTCTTTGCGTTGTAAAAATCAGAAGACAAAATGTAATTAAAATTTTTTTTCGGTCGAGACCGAAAAAAACATGGATAATGACTACACAATGTGTAATAGGAAGTAATTCTCTATAAATAGGGACAAGATTTATCCAGTTTTTCGTTACTAGGGATCAGCAATAAGAGTGAAATATTTTTTGATCATGTAACGTGCGGTTCATTGTAATTTTAATTCTCAAAATTCATTAAATTATCATACACCAGCAATGCTGCAGTTGCTGGGGTTGAATGAACGCCACGGATGTTGGCAGAGCAATTTCGGATCTATCTGAATCAAGGATTAGCGGAGAGGATGTTGGCAGGACTTTCACAGATTATTTGAACAAATATGTGAGAAGAGCAGGTTTGTACACATGGCGAGCGGGTTCTTGCGTAACAGATGCCCCCCTCCCCCCCCTCCACAGCGCGGAAAGCGGTCTTTCTAAAGGCATTTTATGCTGAAAGGCTGTCTGTTGAGTTTGTCCTAGTATTCGATTTCCGGTGGTAGTATGATTCATGACATTAAGTAGAGTTCAGCCGCAGTCTTGAGAATTCTAGCGGCCGGTTGTCCTGATCGGTAGTTTTCTCTTTTTTCTCCGATCAATGCCAGGCGAATTCTAGAGCAGTACCCTAACGGGCCACGGGCCGCACACGATCATTCCTTCCTCTTCTTTAAGCCATCCTCATCCTTTACTGACATACACTTGCATGCACTACACTACCATACCTGTCGGGAACTTAGAGTTTGTCCCGGTTGAGGCGATGCCCCGCTAGTGAGAGGTACGTGGATGGGGAAATTTCGCCAGCCTTCGAATAGGTCGGCGCCGGGTTTTGGCAAGCGAACGTGGACGAACCGTCAGTTTCCTGATAAAAGCATGCACTACACGTATGTCGCTAATGGCCATACCAGTTGACGCACCCGGAAACGCGAAATAATCATATCAATATTTTCTGAGGTGGAGCTGTGCCACCTAATACTTATGCAGGTGCCACCTGCCTGCGACCACGCGACAGGTTCCTGTGGACTTTTCCTGCTTCTGTAGATATTACGTGGTATGTTACTTTTTCGTGTACGTGGTACATGCGAAATTGACATTTTCGAGTTCCCTGATACCTCAAAAGCGTATTACTTATTACGTTTTTACTTATTCGTTTACGAAGTTTATAGAAAGGTATGTAAAGCTGTAGACAAAGATGCCATTTTTTGCCTGAAAAACCCATGCACGAAAAAGTTTTTTTTCCTTTTCTTTTCAAACACTACTGTCTTTCTGTAGCAACACATAAACCGTTCACAGGATTTCTCCCAATTGGATATTCCCCAATCGATCTGATCGCACTTTAGGTCCGGAGTATCTGAAACCGATGTTTTAATTTTTGGGGCACTTTAAATGAAACCCAAACATTTTCAAAATTGTTTTAATGTCTCCACAATTTTAGCTTTAAATTTTTTGTTGGGGTTGAGAAATGTACGTTTATAAAAAATGGCACCACAATTGAGATCTATGGAAGTGTATTTGAGTTTGGTTGTAGTAGAATTAATAAGACTCAACATTCAATAATCAGATAAGAAAGAAAAATGAGGTAAATATAATTAAATAAGACTTCTTTCCTATATGTCAGATAAACTTTTGCGAAAACAGGGACTTCAGGGAATTTAAAAAAAACAATTTTTGTGGTAACTGCTGAAAAGGGACAATCTCGGGGAGCCCTGATTGAAGGCCCAAGTTCTGTCACCATTTTGCTTCAGTACGCATCCACATAGTACTTTCCCTTATCTTCCTCTTTCATATTGGTAACTTCTTTTGAAGCATGCCTTCACATCCTCACTGTACAGATGGATTGCAGTCTATCACAAAGAGCACAGCATTAATCACCATAAAATGTCTATGACTTTGAAATTTGTGTTAATTCTGCTGCAATACTACGCCATTCCACATAAATATTATTCATGTTTCTTTTCATAAAATGAAACATACCTCACAATTATGTCTTCACACTGACCATCCCAAAATCAATATTACTGTGCTATGACAATTCACTTTCAAGGTTTTATCTCTGGTTGCAGATACCATAGATATTATTATGCCATTTTCTTGTGGGTTAGAGTGATCTTCCTAAAACGTCTTGTACATTCACAATAGCATCAGCATCACGGACTCAGTTCTTTTTTTGGTGTGACGTCGCAAGCAACCACGTGCAAATTTTTGTCTGTACAAATTCAAATTATAATAAAAAAGGATCGGCAGAATTGAGCTTAATTGAATCCCTCGGGCTTCTTAGGCGCTGGATCGGGGAGTGCTTTCAGTATTGAATTTCGGCGCAATCTGCAGGTAATTTGGTTTTCAAAAGGAAAATGCAGCGGTGCAGCTCATATAACTCTCCTTCGTGAGCGCAGTATTCTGGTAAGGTGAATGAAGTATAAAAACTCATTATGTTTAGTTAAAATCTTAATTCGTTCAATATTCAAATTACAATAGGTTATTATATTACGCTTACAATTTTGTTTTTCATTATATATCTCTTCTAATATACATTAAACAGAAAAACTAGGAATATTAAAAAATCTAATTTTAAAGAAAATAAATAAGAAACTATTAAATTACTGATTTAGTTATATACATAGAGCTATCGGGCTATTGAGCTATGATATAAGGTTGAAATTTTAGAAACTGTAGAATTTACAGGGCAACAAATTGTATTTAGCCCTTTTTATGATCAGCGCCAGAACATTAAATATTCTTTAAAAACGAAGGAAAAAATAATGTTTTTTATTTCCCCTCTCATTTATGTTGATTGTAAGAGTCAAAATCAGACATAAACGCCTGGAAAAAATTCTCAAAACATTTTTTTCTATTATCTATAGAAAATCGCACGAATAATTAAAACGAAAATTCATAGGTGTAATGAGGTTAAAAAAATAGACATATAAGAAACTAAAAAACATGTTGTTTTATTTGAACGAAGTACTCCGGTAAATCGATTTAATTCTTGCGAAAAAATATTTTTTTTTACACTTCAATTACGATATTCAACATACAAAATTTTTATCCCCAGGAGAGGATTTACCGATTTTAATCCGCTATCTCCTTTTATAATTTGGAAACGTAATATATAATTGTAATAAATGAAAGTAATAAAATTCATCCGCGAATATCAAACTCGTCTTGTAATTTTTGGGGGCACTAACATGAAGCCCTACGAGATTTTCAAAATGTTCTCAATATACACATGTTGCTAATTAACACATTACTTATAAATCACTATCTACAGGCAGGGGCTACGACCTGCGGAGCTAACACTTAGACGTGTCTTTACTCGTCAAGGACATACGCCAAAAACATTTTGCACCAAATATACCCGAACTGCGAGCGAGAATTCAGGACTTAGCATAGGACGAACTTCCGCAGGACACAAACTGAATTTTCACGAGTCCATACCGAAGCGACTGGCTTTCTTTGTAACAGAAGTAAATTACGTATGATAGAGGTAAAACTTCTGGGTACATTAAATAAATAAATAACGATAAAAGCACACCGTTTTGAATCATATTTTACCACTGATGACCTCTGCCTTCATTTTACCATTCCCGCAATATCGAGCCCAACACTCTGGGGGTTACTGTTTTTTTAAAACTAAAGATTGTCACGCACCTACAGAAATATACCAATCGTTATTAAAACAATAGAATATCGCACACGTAAGCTTCCGGGGCTCGATTCTATAATTTCTTGGCTATCCGGGAGACGCCGCGTCGTTGGCTGAGAGGGTAACGGCTGTTGGCCAAGAGGCCAACGACGCAGCGTCAATCCGATAGCCGAGAATTTACCCTAGAACGTCGGTAGCATTCACTTACCAATCTCCACGTATGGTTGGAAGGGAAGGACCAGTGCCACAACCAGCCTCCCATTCGGAGCAAGGGCCGCCCGAAGAGAGCGCAGAAGAGACCACGGATGATCACAGCGGTCCAGGAGGTTCAGACATGTAATAACATCGTACTGCATTTCAGATTTCTTCCATTCTTCAGCATGTAAAATCCTGAAAAGAAGACAGACAAAAAACAAACTATAATCAAACTGTTCGACTGCAAACGCAAGCGAAATGTTTGAGAAATGGTTTTAAGAAGGTAAGATAAAATTAGTTTACAAATATTCAAAATCTGTTGACCACAAGTGTGAGTATGAACCAGGTCCCTACAACTCCCATAGAAAGTGGTGGAAACCATTACGGTGGCGCGCTCTGCTGCATCACCTTCTTACTAAAACACGAACTGCTCCAACGATACTTTAAACCTGCGTGGCTGCTGCGTGAGTTAGCGGGTCGCAAGCAGGACTATAATATTACAAAAGATAACGTCTACAATCGCGCTTTCTTCATTGGTTTCTTATAAGTATATTATGAATAATTGAACATTTAGAAGACTACGTATTTCTCACAAATTAGCCAATTTGTACGTGGGAAACTTCGTGAGCCTAACCTGCAGCTGGACTCGGCGACACTAGCGCTTCCTATAGTAGTACCCTCCAGCTTTATCCCTGGTTTTGATGGAGAGTTGCAGGGCCCTGGTATGAACAATCTGACTGATTGATTGAGGTTTAGACGGCGCTTTAACTGCTGAGGTCATTGGCGCCCGTATCAAAGTAACGTAACGTTGTAAGCCCACGCTGTCAACCGTCAGGCAGCGACGGTTCATATAGACACTTTTCACTCGCAACGCCGATGTAGACTGACGTCACGCAAATAGTATCTTCGGCAAGAATCGGTCCCCGTCGAAAGAGCGACAGAAAACCTAATACATCACAGAATCGGAAGCCTGTCGCTTATCAGCCTTGCCAGACGGAGGAGAGGGAAATCGAACCTTCGAGAACCGAAAAATCTCTTGGGCAGTTGAGAACAGGAGTTCCACAGCTCAGTTCATCAGGTCAGCATCTCTGCATAATAATTTTCGAGGCGTATCAACTACAAAGTGCAATGGGAATATGGAACTAAAAACGGCAGTTTGGGATGCATAGGAATATCATCCGGCGCTAATGATGACGGCGCCCAGCGTGGTCTACCTGCTCCACCTGCCGTTACCGCAAATCTCCATAACACAGGTCATTTATGGCAAAAGGTTAGAATATTGTAATATGACGAGGAAGTGACTTGCATCTTTTATTCCGTTCACTGAAGGTAGTGGCGGAGATAACCACTGCAAAGTGTGGTAAAAGAGTGATGTTATTCATGAACATGTGGGCAGGACAAAAACACATCGAAGAAAAGAAATATAACTATATGATATAGTAGTAAAGGAGAGAAGATATAGTGAAATAAAAAGTGAAACTTGTAGTGTAATAGTAAGTTAATAATTGTTGAGGAAAAGGGCATTGTTAAATGTAGTAAGAAAAAGGAGATGAGATTGTGTTTGGAACTTAAGTATTGCTAATGGAAAGATAAATTAATAGTAGGGGAATATTACGGAAGTATTCGCCACACCTGGTCAGAGATTTGTGAAAGGAGAAAGTTATTTGTAACTGTTAACGACGCCACGAAAATTGAGTTCACATTGGATAACTGCGATATGGAAATGTGATGTCGGAGGGTTGTTATTCAAAGTTGAGAAACGAAAGTCTTATGAACTTTTTTTTTCTCTAATGTGTTTCTCTTTCAGATTTTTTATTCTTGTTTCTAATTGCATAAAATCACTTCAAGAAACAAGAAAATCACAATTCATTGTAAAGTTAATTTAAGAGTTGAAAGTTCCATTTGGATCGCACCAATTAAGATTCTAAGGCCAAGAATGAAAAACTCTATGTATTTTGTTTTTCAAGTTTTTTATTTTTAGTTTCAATTGTATAAACTCACACCACGATACCAGAAGACAAATTTACGTTGTAAAATCATTCCAGATTTGAACATTTACATGATTTCGATACTATAGAGTGATTATGTTAATCTTCATAAACGTTGTGTGTCTTGTCATTTGCAAGCTTTAAGAGTGCGGAATCGTCATCACCGAGCACTTCAAGTAAGAAGTTGCCAGGCCCTGTCTTCGGCGACTGCCATCAAATTTCGTGCAATGCAGGACGAGTTCCACGGCAAGAACTTTTCTGCACGAATCGCAGGTGGGGAAGATTCTCTTTCAAGGAGGAAACTGGCACAAAGGAGAAAAGTGGCACTGTCCGGTTCGAAGACAGGTTAAAATGACTCCCTTACGGCTAGAAGATCGGGATGAGGAACGCCAGGGATTAACACAATCCTTTATCACACCTAATTTAAAAGTGGTATTGTGCCACTCTGTTTGCCACGCACTAACTATTGATCGCATCAAAAATGCTTTAACATAGGACGATTGTACAGAAGGAATGTCAATACGAGTCTTCGCGTGGCCTCAGATACAACCAAGTACCAGATTATAGTGGCAAGACAGAAGACGATGAATCAGGTTTTAAACTGATTCCGTCTGAGGAAGAAAGGGAGACAATATGAAGAGAGCTGAGAAATTCAGAACAGCGACCTACTCGCCGAAACGTCGCCGACTCCCAGTACTTCAGGGCTTCTTGAATTGCAAACATTTCAGAAGTGAATACACTGCACGGAAAACGAAGTAGATAAGATTTGATGACCCTGATACAATAAAAACTATATGCCACTGCGTCACTCTACGTCGAACCATCTGTGTGCGAGAATATATGACCCGGATAGGCTTACCTCATTTCCTGAAACTGCTTGTGGTAACAAGACGACTAGCAGTTTGTTTGGGAAGATTTAAGAGTCTGAGGTCAATATTCGGGCCGCGGAGTTTCCCAGAAACAATGGGGTTTCACAGGGGTGGGAAGGCCGACATTTTAAGGTCACGCAAACGATATGGGAATCAAATACCTTGGGGCTGAGGTAATGATGTTCGAATATTTGATGTCTCATATTCAGGATAGATTCGGCGACACGGATGGTTAAAGAGTCCTGATATTTTAACATCATAAGACACTAGCCAAGATTTTTTAGGGTTGACTCCCCAGCCTTAGTTAGAAGGCACTCCATTCGGCTGGTGCGATACGCACCTGTTGAGGCGGCTACCAGGAATGGTGTTGTTGGGTCAGAGAGTGAAGGGAGCAGATCCATCGTTTGAGAAGACTGCAAAATCTTTGACACTTGAAGCAGCGCAAAGGGTTAGGCACACACTCGCACGCGAAGATTGTAGAATCAGCAACTAATCCTTTCGGAGAGAGAAGAAAGATAGAACGGATAGGAGTGGGGGATCTCTCTCACAAGCTCCTATCTCTTGATACAGAACACCTCGTTACCAGACTTACTTTTAAAAAAAGATAGACGTTCCTCCTCAGATTCAGATTGAAAATCATGATTAGCCACTCCCTTACAAGGATAAGAGGGGATAGATGGTCACTTCCGCATGGAGGACGGCAATCTGCTTAGTTTTAAATAGCTTCTCTATTTACTTTCGATGCCGGCTACAGAGAAAATGACACCATTTTTTGTGGCACGCCTCCATGGAGAGTACCGAATGAGTCCTCTAAGGTTCGCGCGAGACGAGTAAGGAAGGAAAAAGGGAGTGATAAAAGAATGTAGGTGACATATGAAATGAGAAGCAGAAGAAAAATGGTGAAAGGAAACCAGCAGAGACTTCTCTGCATCCTGTATGGACATAGACCAAACCACCTCGACGGGTTTAAAATTCGATGTTTCTCCGACTTTTATAATACAATTTGTTACTTTTGAATAATCTTCCTGTGTTTTAATGTTAATGTTTTAATGTCTTCCTGTGGTCTGGTGTTCCTTTAGTTGCTACTTCAACTGTTAATTTGAATCTAATGTAATCGATGTATTTAACATAAGAATGCGTACTGTTGATCAAAGGTCTACGTTTGAAGTCGTAGGCTTCCGCGACCAGAGTCATGTGGGTGATCTGGGCTGTCCGGGTGACACCGAGTCGAAGAATGAGTTACCAACGTTTCGACCATTGTGTCGTGGTCTTCCTCAGGGCTGGTATGCGTCACCCGGACTGCCCAGATCACCCAATGGTCTACGTTTCTTTTTTTTTTATAAAGTTCCACTTTTGCTGTCATCATTCTGTGATGTGAATTGAATTTTATTTTTTCTATAACATTTAAGTTAATAACTAGGTATATTCAAATAGTTAACATTAAGTCGTTTTCGTTTTAACTGTTACGCGCTTAAGAAGGAACTTCTTAAGAGAAAGTTATATATTGCTAAGGGGAAAAAACGGCTAATTTTCGGCAGAAAAACTTAGAAAATATCCTCTAACACGTGATGCACTCAGAATCCAAGTTTTGTTGCTACCGAAACGTCTATTGACGGCAAAACGTCTCTCCGTCTGACTGTCCATCTGTCTGTGAACAACACTCCACAATTATTGATATTCTCCGATCAATTTGGCTGATGTCGCGGCCCCTTGAATTTGAAATTTATATTTTAATTTCGGGGTGTTCTTTACATGAAGCTCCTGGTACATTTTCAAAATTTTCAAAAAAAGGGTACATTTTTTTAAATTAAATTTTGTTGTTGAATAGTGGAACATTTAAGAAAATGGTGCAGATCTCGTTTTCGTTGAAAACTCGTATTTTTTAAAAATTATAAACCTACAATTTTTTCCGCATCTTCCTACTACTAAAATATTAGATATTTTCCCCTTAATAAAATATGTTCCTTAAAGATACAATTTGAAGTAAGGTCATGTACAATTTTTCGAAAATTTGAGCAATTTTCGCATAATTTTGTGTGAAATATAGGCATTTTTTAATTTTGTTTAAACATTTTTTTTCTCAAAAACGTCTCCATCGTTTTTAATGCAGTTTCGTTGTTGGATAGTCTGAATAACGTTTAAGAAAGGGTGCAGGTCTCATGTTGGTTGAAAAGCCTGATTTTTCGAAAATTGAAGAAATTCAACATTTTTTCGACGTCTTCCTACAACTACAATATCATAGAATTATTATTTTTAATGAAATGTGTTCATCAAAAGCAGATCTTCAAATAAGGTTATCTTGGATAAATTGGAATGGTATATAAATTAATATTTCTTGTTTCTTACAGATGGATAAAGCGTAGTTACTCATGTGACGTAGTGAAATAAGAAATAAATTTCAATAACAAAATAAAAATAATATATTCAAAGATTATGTACAAGTTACAATGAATTGCTAATATTAAAACACTCCGGCAACCTTTTCCTTTCGGAACACTGCTTTACCGCAGAAAATACAAGCCACGCGTGATGCGCGCCGTCGGACCTCTGTCCCGTGACAATTACCGTCACATGGCCTGACGCCAAAAGTTAACCCGGTCGTGGCGACCGTGTGCCTACAGCACGTGAGATTGTCTGGCCCTTACTCTCCGGACATCTCGCCCTCACTCCTACGCCCTCCTTGTACATACACGTACAAGCTACCCGATGCAAACTGAATGAGAGCGCGGGCGCAGATGGCGCCGCGTTAAATAGCTGAGGCTGACACCCCCACCACTGTTCCATAGATAGACTCGCACTGGCGCGAGGCTCGCAGGCCAGCCTTTGGTTTACGCCCACACACAGAATTCTCAGGTTGCCTGCCTGCTTCCGTAAACGAGGCTCGCCGGCAGCATCCTCGGAGTTTACAGCCTCCGGTATTTTTGGCTCTGCGGCACTACCTGAGTCAACCGCCCGAGCGCAAACTCCCGGATGTTCAGGCTTAACACCTCCCTCCCCCGCAGCGTACTTTCACCAACCTAACGGTTCTGGCCCTCGTGTTAACGACGCCACACTCATCTTTCTCCCAAACCTCTTTGACGTCGGCAACGAGTTTCTTCTTCCCCTGCAATCAGTTGGTACTTACAACCATTGCTGCTCGGGGCAAACGAACGGAAGTTGGTGGCGGTTACGCTACGAGAGATGCAGTTCACGGACGCCGGTTCTTCGCTCTATAGTTTTAATATGTCCATCTATGTTGTGCCAATAAGTGATGTCAAAAACCACAGTCAAGAAGTTTATGCAGTTTATGTGGTAATATGTTTTCTCTCGTTGCTCGGGACAACTTGCCCATTTGGCGTGTTTCGTAATGAACGGCCACGTGGCACATGGAAAGTTGAAAGCAGACTTTCAATTTTGTGGTTTATTTCGATCACAACAACTGGCTGAGTCCTAATCACATGAACAGTGTAAATAACGTGCTCCGTGCTGAGGGTGGAGCTAAAAACGGGCAAGCGTAATCATTCTGGTCTTCGTCCTGTACAATTTGGACGAACATTCGGTGCATTTTCTGTTTGCAGACGGCAATTACTAAGCTGTGTGTGGCAGATTTTTAATTGTTGGATGGACATGAGGAGCCTGACATGTTCCCCTTGGCATTGCGTCACGCACTGACTTCAAGACAGCTGGCAACCACCAGAGAGTTCAAATATTTTATGTGTTATTTCTAAGTGAAATAATATGATATTTTATGGGCAACGTCTTGTCATTTACTGTTTCATTCACAAGGTATCATTTTATCAAGTCAGAACCGTGCTTTTTATATGCTAAATCTTTTAATGAGTAATAAGTGAGTGTCAGACAGAAAATTTCATTATACAATATTACATAAACAATCACATTGCGCAAAACGCGCACATTACGTGCTGTTGGAGCACCGCAAGTTAGTCTTTCTGTCTCACAACACCGCGTCCATTTCTTTCCCGCTTTTCTCTTCAAAAACGGTGTTCATTATCTTGGTTTTCCGTCCTTTTGCAAATTTAATTAATCTTGTTCCCTTTTTCTTTCTTTGTCCATTAGCATGTGTCCAAGGCAATTTCCCAAGGACCCTGTTCGTTGCCAACTTTATTGTTAGGATCACCAATCACAATTGCAACACTAGATCTCTGGGTATCAAATGTAAGGCGACATCATTATAAAAATTTTTTTTAAAATTTGTTGTATCTGGGTTGACGCAACGCGTCTCCAAAGACCGGGAGGCGTTGAGCGCTATGCGCTTGGGAGTTGTCCGCCATTAATTAATCGCGCTATTTATAGGAGTAATCCTCCATTATCATTATCTAACATTAATGTCACGTCTCGTCGCAGTCAGTTGTCAAGAGGACCGCCAGGTAGCATCTCCGCGTACGTGCTTCCCACTACGAGCTCCTGCGCCACTACCCAGTGGCCAGAACTGGGAAGGAATTGGGATAGATATAGGATTTAAGACACTCCTCAAGGGGTTACACTAGCCCCTGTGATGCATACAAACTCGTTTTGTCGTAACAAATTTCACATGAGGTTCTACGGAGATTCTACAGGAATCGAACCCGGAACCTCAGAGGTGAAAGGCAAGCGACTTCGCCCCTGATCCACAAGAGCCTTCAATTTCGTCTTCGGAAATATTTTCTGACGATGTATATACCTGGATTTCAGTGATAACTTCTTTCTAAGACAATTTTCATACAGCTATACTCAGATATGATTTCAACTACGTTATCTTTCCGATATTTCTTTATCTTATTTTAAATATTTTATTTATGTAGAATTAATTACAATATCTAAATTAAGCATTTTATACTACTAAGAGGATAAATAGGTTTCGCTACGCTCCTTTCACCAACTAGCGGAGAAAGGAGGTGTATCATGGGCGAGAAACAGGCGATTTGAATTTTAGCTCAGAGGCGTCATTTAGGCTTGAGGGTCTTTTACATGCAAGTAAATCTACGAACATGGGACAGCCGGCTTTACTTCCCCTCCGAAGGAAGGCGTATGAAGGATTTTATCGCCCTTAAAAATCCACGGCTTCGATCGGGTTGAACCCTCAGGGTACAACAGTCCAGTACGCTAACCGTTACACCACCGCCGCCTCAAAGTAATAACGGTGACCATTATTTTATATTATTCACAGTTTTAATATTGTGGAAGGAATGTGTGTACATTAACTCGAAAAATACCTTCGTCATTATTCTAATTTCGGTACTTACGAAAATCCTTTTCTTTGTAGAGTCCAGCGCATTGGAGGAGATACTTCCGTTGTAAATACTCTCTTGAATAATGGGGCAATAATTTCTGTAGTAGCGCCATCACCAGCTCCAAGATCTAATAATGATTCTCTTCGCCAATCAGAGTTTGTTGCTAAAAGACGAAGAAACTGTCCTCTTGAAAAGACAAACATTGATCCACGTCCCAACAACCTGAAACAGCCGTTAGAATAACAACTAAAAAAAGGAATAGAGACTATATAAAAACATTAAAAGAAAAGAATAGAGACTATACGAAAACATTTTTCAAAATGAAAAATAAGATAAATTAATTAAAAAGTGACACAAACATTTTTGCAACAAAAAGTAGAATGATTTCACTAGGCAACAATTGTAAATTTCTGTTAACGAAATAAAATTACTAATATTTAGTGTTTTTTGTTGTGCTGAACTAGAGTATCACAAAGTGGTCACATATGGTATGGTGGTGTTGTAATTTTAAATAATTAATATACTATAATATACTCTAACACGGATTAGATCCTCCCTCGGAAGCTCCTGAACGTGAAGGTTCCGGGGTATTCGCGGGTCGCATAGATGACGCAAGTTCCGGAAACTTCTCGGCGCCTGCTCGCTATAAATGGAGTGGCTCCGGCGGCCGCTGCCACTCTGAAGCAGAGCTGTGAATTGTGTGCATTGCGGTGAACAGCAGTTCATTGGTCAATGCAGCGGGCAGAGTAGCAGTGCAAAGGAAGTAAACCGTGTGAAATAAGTAACCAGGCGAATAAGTCAAGAACTGTAATGTAAATATAGAGGTCTAATCAAGTGAATAACTAGAGAATTGTGGCATAAATATAAAGGACTATCTCTGTATACATCAGGACTTTTAGTATATAATAAAGAAAAAATAAATGAATTTGTTGAAATAAATGTGTGTTAATTCACCACCAACAAACGTTCCAAAACTATAATATACAGTCGATTCCGGTTATAGTGAACTCGTAGAAAGTGACCCCTCGGTTATAGTGAACTTAAGTCATTGATCCCGCTTCACTTACATTACAAATTAGCGTAAGAAGATTCGGTAATAGTGAACCCGAACCTCTGCTATAGTAAACGTAGGAAATATGTCCTGGAAATTAGCTCCTGGAAATTAATATATCGTCTCAGTGCCACAAATTCCAACACTAGGCAGCTTCAAAAAAAAATTCGTCGGCCAAAGGTCGTAATCGAAGGCCTCCTGATGTGAAGGTAGCGGACCTGGAATGTGCACCGTACTGATGACCTTATGCCACTCAGTTTCACTGCGGAAACGAAGGCCGTGTCGTGCGTGGGCTACAACTAGCGACGGCGACACGCAATTACTTGCTTTAATTTCAAGCTTCATGTTACTTGATATTCCGCGAGACAAAGCGCGTTGTGTTTTACGTAGGTGACAGAAAGCGCCGACTGCCACAGCTCCACAGCCTGGCGATTTCGCTCTGCCGCGCGGAAATACTGTAACGTCGTGCCAATGGGCCAGATGGACCACACATGTCTGGAGGCCAGCGAGGGGGCGGAGCAGTCCTTTGGCGGCAAGAGGAAGGCCACCAGAGGCGGGGCCTCCTCAAGGGCCGGGGTGGGCGTGTCTCGGAACGCGGGTGTCAACTGGCGCAGAGAGATGATGAGTAAGTCCAGCCACAGGGCAGCTGGGCTCCAAATTGCAATCAGGCCCACGTTTTGGGATGTGATGACGCCACCGGCATGGTAGGTCTGTCACGTGACCCCTCGCGAGGCGGCTGGAGAGGAACCGGCCGTGTTCATTCGTTTTTTAACCGAATCGCGGCGCGGAAGGCACTTTTTCACCCGCCAGGGTGAACCACGCGAGCGAGCTTCGGCTGCGAGGGGTCGCGGTTGCCACGGGACGAGAGACCAGGAGCGGCGCTAAGCCGCTGGGGTCTGCGTCAGGCTGAGGCGGGTATGCCTCAGGGATGTGCAGTGCTGGGAGTGCAACGCTAGTTTCCCAATAGTGTAAATATTGTATAGAAAAAATTGTCAATAAATCTGCACAGAACAACACCGTGTCTGTTTTTTACTCGTACCCGACGACGTCACAATACGGTTAGTTACATTAGCCGCTTGCGCCATCTCGCTATCGAAAGGATCTCGTATGTTATTAGGCGGCGAAAAGGGACTTCGAAGAGTGGAACTTCCACCAGTGCAAGAGGCATAGAAGGGTGGCAAGACTGCATTACAATACTTGGAGACAATGAACAATGCAGAATGAAGTTTGGAGAGAGCACCAACGCTGGGGAAGGCTCTAGAAAAAGTACTAATAAAAATGTACGAGGCAAACAGTTGAAAATAATTGTTTTTTTTAGGAAAAATAAAGATATTGAACTTTTCAGTTTGTGCTGTTCATGTATTGTGCTGTATCACTATATTAATAAAATCAGTCATTCGGGAGAAATTCTATTTAATTTTATCGCCGGATATAGTGAACCAGAAACGTTAATCCCCAGAAGTTCCCTATAACTAGAGTAAACTGTACTTATATTGGGGACAAACTGCTCAAGTGCGAGTTGATCAGCCCCTTACTGACGAAGTGGCTGTGAGAAAAGGAGTCAGGCAGGGGTTAATTCGGTCTCCTTTACTACTTAACTTGTATCGAAAACATGACTTCAAAGATGCCTAAGAAAATAGTAATCTGGGAGTAAAAGAGAATGGTATACCTATTTCTAATATACATTAATGACAGACATATCTTGGAGATAGAGCAGTTCATTTGCAAGAGCTAATTCACCAGCTAATGCTTCGAATAAATCGAGCTTGCAGAAATTTTGAATTAGAAAGAAATGTAAGTAAAACAAAGTCAATAATAATTAGTAAGAAAGTGACAAGACCATTTCAGATGTTCATAAATAATCAACTTATTAAGCAGGTTACCAAAATTCAAAAATTTGGGACAAATTCTAAATGAATCTTGAAAATCCGATTTTGAAATATTGACTAGAACTGAAATATTAAGATCCAGATTTAACTAAATGGGAAATAGTTTATGTAGCAAAGACTTACTTATGAGTTTTACTCTCAGATGAGGAATGGTAAAATGGGACAGCTCTTTTCTAATAGGGCGCTGAAACGTGGACATTGAAAAATGCATCTATTAACAGATTAGAGGGATTAGAGGTGTGGGTGATAAGGGGAATATTGACAAGTTTCTGGATTTAAAAAATGACCATATACTAGAAAGGTATAATATACCATTGGAAACGTAATATTTCGCGTCGAAAATGACATGACACGAGAGGTGGATGGCGGTGGATCCTTCCTGCCGACTGCGCTATCTTACTATACAAATATATGTTCTCTAGAGCAGACCGAACTATTAAAGATTAAATTTATTTTATCGGAGAGCATATACAATATTTAACGTCCATTGAGAGATAAACAGTAATACAGTGCGCCAGGAAAGTCTCTCCGCAGTGGCATCAATGGCTAGCGACAGTGCTAGCAAGAGAAATTATGTTGGTAGCATCAACTGCAGCTTGTAACAAATGAAAACGTAAATTGCTTACTCACTACAACCATAACACATGCCGGAAGTGTTGTCCCCTTCACTTATATCCCAGTGATCGGGATGGTTTAAGAGACGTTTAAGAGACGCTTAAGAGAATGTGGCAGGTCCCATTTTTATTGACATCCGCGATTTTTCGAACTTCGAGATAAAGATTTTTGCCTTAGAAAATGTCTGTACAAAATTAGCTACTTAAAAAAAGGTCATGTACTTTTTTTAAAAACGAGTAGTTTGCGACTAAAATGTACAATTTTTGCTCTCAAATAGCCAATCCAAATTGTTTCTTTAAATTTCCTTCACTTATTAATAAGAGACGGTAAAAAATATGGTGCTAGTCACACTTTCTGTTGTAGCTCGATTTTTTAAAAATTAAAAACATTAAAGCTAGAAAATTTGAGATAGAGATTTTTGGCCGAAGTCTGTTGTACAAAATTACCTCTTTAAAAAAGTAGTGTACATTTTTTGAAAAAACTAGTAGTTTTTGTGTTTTTCGCAATTGAAATTCACAAAAAAATTCTCAAAAAAACGCTCGAAATTTTTTCCTTAAATTTTCTTCACATATGTAATAAGGAACGGAAATAAACATGGCGCTAATATCATTTTCGAGTATTGCTCGTTTTTTTTTTCGAAAATTCTCCCAAAAAATTTCAAAACTACAAAATTGAAGATAGAGATTTTTGTCTCGGGCAGTCTGTTATAGAAAATAAGCACTTTAAAAAGGGCCATGTATAATTTTCCGACAAAAACAGTTTTTGCGAAATTTCTGCTTGAAAATAATGAAATATATACAGGTTTCACACCAACTACGGGCTACGAAAATATGTAATCTATGAAATGAAAAGATATTAATAATATATGCCAATGTTAATTGTATTTTTACACTCCCACTTTTTTGCTTTTTACTCAATTTGTATTCCCTATGTATTGATGTATTTCTTTTTAAGCAATCTGCAAAGCTTAATAGAAATGTCCCAACAATGCGGCATCAATAATTCAGAAGCTAATTATTGTCGAACGTCGAGATGTTTGCAAGGACAAGATACAGCTATTTAATTAAGAGCAGCTGGTGGTGGTCTAACTCCTAGACCGAGAGCCAGTACTTCCGTTAGCGATGTATTTCGTAGCAGATTTTTATAAATTACTACTCAGAATGACCGGTGAGATATGTTACATATAATTTAATATCATCTGATCCCTAAAAATATTTACTGCATATTGAACAAAAGTGAAACGATGAAACGCATTTGGAACTGCTATCCTACGAGGAAAGGCAACTCACGAGTGAGCAGTCACAATTTTCGTAATCATTTTTATGTAAATTACATATTCTAGTTACTGTACTGATATTGTATTGAAATAAGCCAAGCGAATGCACATAGTTTTCACAACGCTGCGCTGAGAATAGGGACTTGCTCACTTCTTGGTTGAATTGGGACGTTTTGAAATAATAGCTGATATAGCGCAGAAAAAGCAATATGTCAATATTACGTAGCTGTTTGAGATAACGCGAAAAAATATGAGCTGTTGTAACACCACTAGTTTGAATTTTTCGTCGTCATCTCAAAACCCATACATAACCGCACATGTTTTAATGCATTTCCGCCTTTGGGCGGTATTTGACGAAATCAATTTTTGAGTTTTACTCTCACTGAGAGAG